TAAATAAAATAAATAAAATAAATAAAATAAATAAAATAAATAAAATAAATAAAATAAATAAAATAAATAAAATAAATAAAATAATAATAAACTAAATAAACTAAATAAACTAAATAAAATAAAATAAATAATAAACTAAATAAACTAAATAAACAAAATAAACAAAATAAATAAATAAAATAAATAAATAAAATAAATAAAAATAAAATAAATAAAAAATAAAATAAATAAATAAATAAAATAATAAATAAAATAAATAAATTTAAATGCGCCTCTTAAAAGCAGGAAAAACAGACTTTCGCCACATCGATAGAGAACTCCACGTGGATGGATGGATGGATGGGGGCGGGGAGAGAGATACGTTGGACTACAACTCCCACACTTCCGTCATGAAGACCGCCATTCCCATGATCCCTCGCGAATCCCTCCGGCCCTCGGTGCGCAGGCGCCTTCCCGTTGGGTGGCCGGCCACGCCCCCCCTGTTACTTTATTATTGTCCGCCCCTCCCCCGGGCAGGCCTAAGTTCGCGCGCTCGCGCCTCCTTCGCGAGTCCCGCGTGGCTTGGCCGGGCGGCTCTCGCGAGACTTGGCACTTATAAGCGCAGGCCGCGTTCACGCGGCCGCCTCTTTTGCGCCCAGCCAAGATGGCGCCGAAGGCGAAGAAGGAGGGTGAGCGCGGGGCTCTGGCGGGGGGATTCGGCCTCTGGCGGTGCCCACCCGCCGCCCTTACCCCGAAACTGCCTCAGCATGGCCTCCCCGGAGAGCTGGGCCCGGCTGGGCGCTTCCCTCGCCGTCTTTCCCCTCAGGGGAGGCCGCGTGGTCTCCTTGCATCCCCCTCAGGATGGGGCGGGTTCGCCCCCCACACCGTTTCTTCAGACCCTTCTCTTCTCTCTCCGGCCCCCATTTAATCTCGCCCCCCCCCCCGGTTCTCTTGCTGCTGGATCACAGTGCCCATCATCCCCGGCTTTTCGAGGGCTGTGGGTAATTGGCCGGGCCTAATGGTCACTGGGGATCACAGTGCCCATCATCCCCGGCCTGACGAAGCCTTTCATTAATTGACCGGGTCTAATGGGGGGGGGCTGTTATTGGGGATCACAGTGCCTGTCATCCCCGGCCTGACGAGGATTAATTGGCCGGCCCTAATAGGCCGTTTTATTGGGGATCATAGTGCCCATCATCCCCGGTTTTTCGATGTCTTTGGGTAATTGGCTGGGCGTGGGGAGGGGCATTGCTTAATTTGATTGAGCTTCTAGCCCCCCCCCCCCCAAGTTGGCCTTTTCCAGCTGTTGATGAGGATGGTTATTTTTGTGAAGGGGAGGATGGGTTTTGGGGTCTGTGGGAGGGGGAGAATGTGCTCATTATGGGAGTTTTATTATTTGTCATGGAGCATGTGGTTTCACATGGGGGTTTGTGTGGGTTTTGTATATGGGGTCCCACGGGGGGGGGGGGGAAGTGGGAGAACAGTCCCAGAAGGAAAGGGTCCTTAGAGATCGTCTGGTCCAGCCCTCTACTCAGCAGTGCTCCAGCGAAAATGTCTCGGAATTTGATTGATTGGTGATTAAATTTCTATGCCACCCATCTTCCCCCGCAGGGTGTGATGACCTGAGGAAGAGCCCTTCCCTCTTTCTCATTTATTTCTTTTCCTGGAAGGACGATTCCTCTTCATTCTCTTAAGTAGAGAACCAGCCTTAAAACTAAGGAAACATTTCTTGACATTGAGATACAATCAACCAGTGGAACGACTTCCCTCCAGAAGTTATGGTTGCTCCAACACTGGGGACGCAGTGGCTGCTGAGCTTGTCGATCAGAAAGGTCGGCCGTTTGAATCCCCAGCACCGCGTAACGGAGTGAGCTCCCGTTACTTGTCCCACCTTCTGCCAACCCAGCAGTTCGAAAGCATGTAAAAATGAGAGTAGAAAAATAGGGACCACCTTTGATGGGAAGGGAACAGCGTTCTGTGCGCCTTTGGTGTTTAGTCATGCCAGCCACATGATCACGGAGATGTCTTCGGACAGCGTTGGCTCTTCGGCTTTGAAACACAGATGAGCACCGCTGGAGTTGGGAACGACTAGCACATATGTGCGAGGGAACTCTTTACCTATAGGATCTCCTGCCTGAACAGGGGGTTGGACTGGAAGACCGCCAAGGTCCCATGCTACTGTGTTATTCTGTTAAGTTAGCATGTCCCCCTGGAGTCTTCTACAGGCTAATGGTACCCAGCATCTCCATCTGTTACCCTTTTTTCTTCTTTCCAGGCCTTTTATTCCCTTGGTTGAAGTCCTGTGGCATAGACTGTTTTATTTGTGTTCTTAAAATGTGCTATTTTCAGGATCAAGGCTGCATGTGATGAGGCTTTAGCGACCAAAGTCTGAGTGGTTGTGATTGTAGCCACAGGAAACTGATGCACCTTGATCCTGGGCAAAGCCTTCTGCCTTTTGGGGTTCCCCCTGGCCTGCTCCCCACTGGGCTAATGAAGGCCTCCCTTCCCTGCTTGACCATTATGCCATCATTAAGTTCCCACTGAGCAGAGTCGAGCAGGAAGAACATTTCCCCCATGCTAGCTGAGGGGAATCTGAGGATTGA